ATTATGTATTTGATAGCATAAATTTAAATTGCTTACATGCTGAAACTTTAAAGGTTTGAGAAAAACTGTTCTTAATATGTTAACAAGTTTTTTATCAATAGTAATAATAAGATGTTAATATAATTTTATTTTTTTTCTATACGGTGTGAACTAATTTGGTTATTTTTTGTAATGCAATTTATTTCTATTGCTTAATCAAAATCAGAAATTGTTTTTATTTATTAAAATATAATCTCAGCAATCTGAATTTATTGCCGCATTGAGGTGTTTGGGAAAACTACAAACAATGAAAGATTGAACATACATACAATTTTATTGACTGGATACAGATGTGTATACTGACTTGTAAACATAGAATTTGCATTTTTTAAAAAAAGAATTTAGTTATTTTTTTCTATAATTCCTATATTTGACAACTTGATAGTTTGTAATCAAGTAAAAGGCCAATAGCTCACCAAAACTTAGCTTAATGTTTTACTGTTTCGGGTAACAGGAGCCATTTTTAAGTCTATAAAAAGTAGGCATTTAGTTAATTCATATAATAACCTGTACCACTATTAACCCATGAAGGGTCTTGGGTTCAGTACAATGTGAGGAAGTACTGTTACAAGGCCAACGGTTGTGCAGGGAGGTGATTGGGCTGATATCAAGCTTAACCGCCAAGTTTTTTCCCTCAATTAATTATTTAATTATGAGTACCCACTTTATAGAGGGTGGGTGTGCCGCAGGAGGGTCTCCCGACCCAAAGGTCAATCCATGGCTCATGAAAAATAGATAAGCAATACAATGTCATACAGAGATAGTCTGTTCCTCATTATTGCAATCGATTTTAAAACACGGTCATCAACCCACCCCGACATTTTCACGATAAAAAGCAGATTCACACCGACAATGACATGATAGAAAAATTTCCTGATACACCGCATGTTTTAAAGAACTTTAAGTTTCCTGAAAACAATGAGTGCTAGTATAGTTTGGTTAAAGATTTCCAAAATGTTGGATCAATTTAGTCCAGCGACCTAGCGAAATTGATTTGACATGACCGAAATGAGTCCATACAAGAAACTTAATTGAGTAAAAGAGCCTTAAAAAATTAGGGTACGTCAATAAGATGTTATAATTTATGTTTGTTTTAAGCTAGATAAATTTGAAATTTGGTTCATTGAACTGGAAAACTAGTTTCCCGAAAACTAATAGATTTTTTTATTTTGATAATATTGCAAATTTCAATATTATAAGACTTTTTGAGAGAAAAATAACATTTTTTAAAAATATATTTGTACATGAAACAGAATTCAGGACACCAATATACAATTCAGTATTAAATTATTATATCTTGGCTTATTTTTTAAACACTTTTGTCAACACATGCCGGTTAATTCTCTTATATGAATTATTGTTAATTTTCCTTATTTTTCTTCTTCACTCTTGTTATTAATAATTTTTTGACTGCATATCCTACACTTTTTTTTAATTTTATTTGATATATAACGTATGGCACAGAACTATATTAACGTTTATTGTTAATCTGGCCATAATAGTTATCATGTTTCACATAAGCACCACAGGTATTGAGAAAAGTCAACAAATATTAATTCCAAAGGGCCTTAAGTCAATAGTGGCAACTATTGTTTGTTAATTATTGATGTAGACGTCTCAATAGGTGCACGTCCCTCCCTGGCCCGGCACCTATGGAATTTAGGCTGAAACCTATGCCCATATTTTGTGCCTAATATATACAAATTAGTACAATAAAAATTACAATTTGTACCCATCAGAGATCGGAGATATAAAGCTCGCAAAAGTGCCGGGCCAGGGACATGATGGCCCGGTACCTATGGAATTTCGAGTTGAAACCTATGCCAATATTTTGTATCTAATATGTACAATAAAAATTACAATTTGTACTTATCGGGGCTCGGAGATACAAAGGTCGTTAGGTGCGCCATGTGGTACATCATCAATCTTCCACGTTTTACAATTTTCTCGAAAATGGCTCAACCGATACTGATTAAACTCGGTAAATCAAGGTATAATTAAATGATCTTTAATATCAGGTAGATATCATCTCCACTGAGCTATCCTGCTCCCAATTCAGATAATAACAATAATTATATGTGGAAGGAGATGGTCCGAGGTGGCAGTCATAAATAGGCTAAATAGCAGCAAAACTATTTTATTAAAAGACAATCTTTTGACCCGACTTTGTAGGTCTTCTTCCAGGGAGGTGTGTTCAGCTAAGAGTTGGGTCGAAACGTTGGCTTTTAACAAAATAGTTTTGCCACTATTTAGCCTATTTATGACCATCACCGCGGACCTTCTCCTTCCTTAATACTGCAACGGTCAACTATTAAATAATTATTTTTAAATCTTTTTATTTAATTTTACTTATTGACATTTAATTTATGAATATATTTTTAATCTATTTATTTAATTTTAACCTATTAATGTGGAATTTGAAGAAGCAGTGGATAATTTTCTAAAAACCATCAATGAAGAATTGCCTGGCCCACAACACCCTGCCGCTATGTTTTATAAGCTAAGAACAGAAGATAAATATTATAAACAGATATGTTTTCCCATCTTTAATACACCCATTGCAGACGGGTGTATTAATTAAATTGCCTCTATTGCTATTGGAGGCTATAGACCATATTACGAAGAAGTGTTAAGCCGATGGTAGGTTTACCGGCCAGCACTTGCTCAGCGATGATTAAGAGCTTGGGTCTTTTGGGGGTGTCAATGAGAGGCTCCTCTCCAGCACTGGCCCATTTCCCAGAAATTGGCAAATATGACAGATCCTCTGTTTTAGGCAATTTTCAATTTCGGGGACGAAGTAAGAAAGTTTGCGGAAAACCCTTGAGGGAAAATTCCTTTGAAGACTAGAGCAAGTGCAAGTGGCTGGGAATTGGTGTGTCCCATTTTAAAGCAAACCCATGGGCCAATAAATTTGTTTACGAGAGAAAGAAGCTCACTGGCTCAGAATGGACAAGCACCATGAAATTGAATGTTAATTACACTCCTCTCCGTGGAATGCGAGGGATCGCAAGCCAGACTAACGGAACTGTTGGACCAAAATGGCAGTAAGGTGAAGATAGATAGAGACCCCCCATGTACATATAGAGATGGCCAATAGATATAGAAAGTTACCAACCCTTAAAATTTATAGTAATTACTGTCTCAAGACATGAAATAATAGTCGGTTACCACATACCCATTGATTTCAAGTCAAAAATTTAAATTTATGATTAAAAAAAAACTTTTTTTGGGAAAAACCGAAAAAAGTAAACACTTTTATTCGGGTTATTTGCTTATCTCAGTAAACTGTGCTTTCTAGCAATAATAATGCAGTATATAAAATTAAAGCTGACAAAGTTTTTAACAGAAATAGTGATATTCATTTTTTCACTTTCTTCTATATTATCCGAGATATTCGTCATCGTTATTCCCTAATTTCGAAAAAAAAATTGTTTTTCCCTAGCATTTTTATCATTATTTGACTCAATAAGTCTTTTTGTTTTCATTTTGCGAATAAGTCATGAGGAAGAAAGTTGTTAAGCATCAAATTATATTAAGAATATGTAGTACTTTACTATTTTATTTTCAACCATTCAAAAGCTAAAGCAATTATAACTTTATATTTAAATTCCAAAATTATGTAGAAAACTTAAATTTTTTAATTTTCATTATTAAACAGTATATAATTCAATATATGTACATTATGTAAGGCAATGTATACTTATATATGTTGGCTTATATAATCATTAGGAACTGTTTAATAATGAAAATTCAACTTTTTCTGCATAGTATCGGAATTTTAACAAAGTTATAATTGCAATAGCTTTTGAATGATAATTTCATAACTTAAAATAAAACTATTAGAGTCTTTGTACTAGATTGCTTTATTTTAATATTTTCTCTTCTTCCATAACTTTATTTAAGCATTTTACCAAGCCTTCACTATGAAGTTGTTCTCATATTTCTTCCAAAATCTATGGGTCACCTCCCTCCTTAAATTACTATCCAAGAGTCATTTTCACAACTGCCTTCCAATGAATTGGAAGCAACCTTCTTCACATATCAGGGAACTATTTGAAAAAAAAAATTCTGAGGCTGCACCTTTTTTTGTCGTTACTGGGCTTCCAGCTTTATTACAAATAATTTTTCTACATTCAAAATCAATGCACTTAGGGAGCTTTTATCAAGAGTAGTTAGTAGCATCTGATTTCAGGAAGACCCAGGTTTAAACATATGAGACACCTTGAATCTATGGGATATAAGGATATAATAGTTCAAGAAAATTTCTTACAAGTAGAAAAAAACAACAGAATTATGAGAATATTAAGAAATAGGCCAATAAAAATATTTTCTCTAAGCAGAAGGTGATGCTGAAAGATTAACTATAAAGATTACAGGACAATGAAGTAATATGCACTTCCATTTGAGTTCCAAAGTTTATTTTAACATAATTTGAAGGTATTTTGATAAATAGATAAGCATATATTGAAAAACATGACTCAAATACCATACAAGAATATTTTTTAATTTTAATTAAATCACCTGAAGATGGGGACAATTGACCCTGGAATGTTACAAATAATTATAAAAGTATTCTTATTAAAGAGTTATTAAGGAAAAATTAAAATCACTCATTCTCAAATAAATAAAACAAAACAATTATTCCAATAAGTAACGAATTATTAGAAACCAATTATTAAATATTTCATTGAAATTTCTTTTATTTTTTCGTGAAAGTTTTAAACTTCTAAAACAAAAACTTTTTACTTCTTGAACTAAAAAACAAAAAAAAAAAAAATTATGTGTACTTACTAAACCTATTCCTAAAATTATTCCAATAAGTAACGAATTATTAGAAACCAATTATCAAATATTTCATTGACATTTCTTTTATTTTTTCGGGAAAGTTTTAAACTTTTAAAATAAAAACTTTTTTTTTACTTCTTGAACTAAAAAACAAAAAAGAAATTATGTGTACTTACTAAACCGTTGTCAAAAGTAAAGATTCCAACATCTCTTCCATGGTGTATATGATTCCTTCTCATAATAGGATTAGCATAATTCTTAACCCAAATCCCAGCCAGTGCATTCCTTGAAATTTCATTGTCTTCATATGTGCCATGAGCATAGTCAGTGACATACAGCCCAACATTTTCACAATCACTTATGTCACAATGTTTTATAATAGGAGCAGCTCCTTGACCACTAACACACACAGCAGCTCCAACTAAAAAACAGTAATATTGCTGAAAAAAGTAACTGTGTATCTGATTTTAACAACATTGTGAAGATAGTGGAGCATGAAAAAAAAATCTTTATTTACAGCTGTCAATTACAGCATCCATTGAATTGGATGAACAATATCTCAAGGAAATGGCATGAGGAGAAGCAATACCTAACTGCACCTCCTACTCATATGCCATTAACATTAATTGTTAGACTAGTCAGTCATCTGCTTCTCTTCACTGTCTTTGATGTGTCTCGGACAAGCAAGAGGCAAATTGTCCATGAGGACCAGTTTGGCTGTTTGCCGCAGAATGTACATACATAGGGATGGTAAATCCTGGTCTAACAAAAGACAGTGAATAAAAAACCAGTTGTGGTAACAAAGTTTTCATGGACTGGAATGGGCTGATGAGATAGAAAAATTAAAAGATAAGCAGGATCATATTTATTTTATATGATTCTCGTTATATTGACTACGAAGAAGTAATGAAGAAAACCAAAACATTGAGATATAATGTAGAAAAATAGCATCACAATAAGTAGTGATCATAACTAAAAATTACTATGAAGTATCAATTAATAATTTTAACTTTTGATAAAATAATTAAAAGCACCATAGTGGATTTCATTTATTCGTAATTTTCAAATTCACAAAACAAAACTGAATCATATATAATAATAATATTGTCGAACCTCTGTATATCAAACTTCTATTTAACAAACAGAAGTTAAACAACATTCTTCAAAATTTTAATAAAAATTCTTTTAATTTTTATCAGAAAAAATATCCTCTGTATAAAATAAAATTATATATGTGTGTGTACATACATATATAATATGTCATTGTCATAAATGGCCCTTAGCTTATGCTCATAAAAATGAATAACAATTAAATAAGATAAAAAACAACATGAATTTTGAATTTTAAATTCAGTTAACCTTTGTTTTTTTATTTTTGAACATAACTTCTGAAGCCTAGTCCACACCAGAACAATGTGGTCAGCTACAATGATTCAATGTTCTATGTCTGTCCAGAGAAAGCCCAACAAATGAATTTCCAAAAAAAGTTGTTTTTTACATAATTAACAAACAGTTCTTAACTTGAATATCATCAATTAATTTTACAATAACTTCAGCCATGAACTGAAAAATACAAAGCACTATAAAAAACAGTTAGACAACAAAATACAACTATGTGCAAAACAGCCAATCTTCCCAATAACATGTCCAAACTAGCAATTTTGCATGAAAATGTTTTATTGAGTCACATTGAATTGGACTCATAATCTTTATCACGTAGATCTACATTGCATTCTAGGGACACGGGAACATGTTAGGGAACTGAATTGCAGCAGTGCCAATACAAACTGATTCAGTCTTTCTGCAAAGATGAAAAATATTGGTATAATGTAAACTAGGCTTAAACATGACTGATGATTTAAACACAAAAAGATATAAACTACTTTGTGGGGAAATAAAAACTAGTTAATTTTTATGTATGCATACATATTTTTAGTACATATCCTTGGTAAATATCTTCACATTATATAAATACATATGTGAAAAATTTGCAATGTCTTTTGGTCCTGGAGCCCTTATCAAAAAAGGTGTCATATTTCATACTAAAATTTGTCCTAATAAATTGACCATATCTATAGGTCTGAAAAGAAAAATGCACATCTGCCAGCATATAGCTGCTGGAATACAAAATGGCAGCCATGTGAAGATAGATAGACTTTATATAGGTATAAAACTTATATGTAGAGAGGACTTATAGAAATAGAAAGCTACCAACCCTTTCAATCTATAGTATCTACAGTCTTAAGACATGAAATAATAGTCAGTTACCCCATATCCGTGAAACTATGCGTTCAATTGATAATAATGTTATAAGTGAAATTGAAGCATACTATATATACTATTTTATATACAGATTAAGTGCTGTATGATAACGAAAATTAAGTTTTTCTGTATAGTTTCGAAGTTTGATCATTAAGTTAAAATTGCTCTAGCTTTTGAATGGTTGAAGATAATAATATAGTAATATTATATATATTCTTAAAGAAAAATTAATATTAAACAACATTTTCCTCACGACTTCTTCGTTAAATGAAAAGATACAGAGTTAGCGAGTCAAATAATATAAAAATGTGAGGCAAAAACAATTTTTTTTCACAGTCGGTGAATTACGAGGACGGATATCACAGAAACTATAGAATATAAAGAAAAAACTAATATAACCATTTCTGTCAAAAATTTTGTCAGCTTCAATTTAATTTATAACATTATTACCAATAGAACACATAGTTTCACTGACATAAATGAAAAACCGAAAAAATAAATTAAATTAAATAAAATGTAAACCTTAGGAATCATAAATTCAAAATTTTGACTTGAAATCCACGGGTAAGGAGTATCTGACTATTATTTCAAGCCTTTAGACCGTAAATTGAAAGGGTTGGTAGATTTTTATATCTATAAGCCCTCTATATATATACGTTTACTACCTATCTAGGTATGGTCTCTATCAATCTTCACCTGACTGCCATTTTGTATTCCGGCGGCTATATGCTGGATGACGTGCATTTTTCTCACCAGGCCTATGGATATGACAATTTATAAGGACAGAACTTAGTACGAAATACGACACCTTTTTTGTCACGGGCTCCCGGACTATATGTAATATATACAATTTTCAAATCAATTTTTATTTATGATTGTGGATTGATGGTTGATTGTAGTAAATAATTGAAGATAAGAATGGTTGGAGTGATCATAAAAAAAAAAAAAAATATATGTATATATGTATATATATATATATATAGTAAAAATAAATAAGTATATTTTTTTTATTTGCATATTTATAAAAATAAATATACTTTACTTTTTTTTTTTTTTTTTTTCTTACTGATCACCCCAACCATTCTTCTCTTCGATTTTTATTTATATCTTCTTTTACTTTAAATAATAAAAAAAAATCTGGTGCGCACAACACACAACTTTCACTTACCGATCTACTTTGAATAGAAATTATTTTCTGGCAATGCTGGGATTAAGACTATTATAATTACAAAATGTCTATTTAATATATCAACGACAGGCAATAAAAATCTAGTCACTCCATCTGCTTTTATAAACCACACATCTTTCTTTGCTTTTATAAACCACAGAATGACTAACTCTAATTTTAACATTTTTGAGTGATGTCATTTTAGTGATATTTTTAGTTGAAAAAGTTATCTATGCAGACAATGGGTAAGTTGATTCCAGAGGTGGTGATTCCAGTGTTGAAATATAGAACTGAGAATAAAGGTATAAATTTAGGTACTACTTTCTTATGAACGATGTTTTTAGGAAAGACACTTTATTAAATATCTGTAGAAAAAAGTTTTTTTTAGTCTCAACAATTAATAAAATTTATTTTAAATTTATCCATCCAAATTTACGCCTCTTCAGGGAAAAAAACTAGAGACCATATCTTTCCTCCTAATTGTCCGATTCTTTTTTTGTTTTTTAAGGAAATTCCATAAACTTTTAAAAAACCATTATATAATGCTCAACAATATCCCCAAAAAAGCGTATACTTTTTGAGTTATTTGGAATTTAATTTTACCATCCCTCGTAACTTTTTTTCCAGCTTCTTTTCGTTGAAGTATGTTATAAAGATAAATTTAAAGGGTATCGAGAAAATGACTTTAGCGAAGTTTCATTGAAATTGGTACATTCGTTTAGCTGCTACAGTCTGTAGGAACGCAGGTTTATCTGCATTTTTATTTTTTTTCTCCTTTATTAACTTATCAAATTCTTTCAAAAGTTATATGTAGCATTTTTTAGTAACTGAATAATGCCAAATGGTTAATTTTTTAAAATAAACCATATTAAAGGTACTTTAGAGGAAGACATATATGAACATTGGGCATTTAAGCCCTGTAAAGTGACATCAAAGGCGATAAGACCTAAGTGATATTAAAGACCACTTAATTATACAATGATACACCGAGTTTGATCAAAATCGTTAGAGCCGTTTTTGAGAAAATTGTAAAAATGTGTTTCAGCGTTCATATAAAGTGGCACTTCCGGTTAGCCGATTTTAACGAAAAAGTTGCTGTCACATCAGGCCCATATATAAACCTTAAATACTTAATATCAGTTTCGTACTACTTTTTGTTTATGAGCTAGACTGTTAACACACACACACACACACACACAAACACACACAGACCATTTTGCGACACTTGGTTATTTAAATTCAGGGGACCTCAAAACATGTATTTCCGTTGAAAACTGAGATTCGAAAATTTTCACGATCGCAATACTTATCCTTACTATATATTACATATATACGTAAGTGAAAGTAAAAAAATCTTTGATAACTAATCCCAAAAATTTAATATTGTTTTTAGGATGAGGATGAAAAATTCCAATCAATCAATATATATATTTATCGAAATTTCCATAAATCCAATTTTTTTCAAGGAACTTTTATGTTGGATATATAGAGGTTCGACTAATAACATAATAAATTTCATACATGTTGACATAACTTATGAACTTAAATAGTTAAAATAATTAACAAAATGGTTTCGAGCAGCATGGGTGTCATCACTTGCTCTTTCCCTTAAGTGAACAGTAAGTGAGAAAGCACTGAAGGGTTGATTTGTTGTGTCTTCTGTTAATCCTAATAACTGTTAATCCTACTACATATAACAAGCAGCTTAAACATGTACAGCAGTATAAATATCATACATGATAGGTCTAAAAACATATGCCACTTTTGGGTTAAATGGAAGAGCATTTTTAACAATACGTCAAACCCTATAAATGTCTTTTATTGTACCCTATTTTTTTTTATACTAACGATGACTGCATTTTTCGAGAAAGATATATGAAATAAGTTCATAACTTGAACCTATATGACCAACAAACACGAGGGATGAGATATATGTCCCAGGTGAAGGCTTTGGAGGCAGAATTATTTTGTTATAAACATGTGTGTTAGAA